ACTAAAGTTAGAGCACGGAATTGAAAAAAAATTTGTATGTGTTCCGCAGAACCCAGTGTCTTGCCTACTTTTGCTGTTAATCGCAGGCTCAACAAAAATGAGTAAAATATTAATAAAAATATTCCTCTCTATACTATCTTTTGACTGTAAGAAGCTTCTGTCCAAGTTTGGTAGAAATCCAGGATAGTTTATGAATCTAATAAACGTTTTAAAAAATTTAACTGCAGACTGTACGTAATGTTAACTGGAAGAAAAGCTAAGTCCATTATTTTAAAATAAGTAAAATATGGAAAAACAAGAACAAAATTTTAACTAAATTTCCTTCTAGCTTTTGATCATAAACAAGCTTCTGTCCAAGTTTGGTACAAATCCAGGATAGTTTAAGAAATTTTTTTAAATTTGAAAAACTTTAGCCACAGTGTGAATGTAATGTTTCCTGGCAGAAAAACTTGGAAATGGAATTTTTTTTGTTACAAAATTTACTTCTGGATACTATCGTATATGATCATAAACAAGCTTGTGTCCAAGTTTGGTAGAAATCTAGGATAGTTTAAGAAAGTTATTAAAATTTCAAAAACTTTAACCACAAAGTGGATATTTGTGGATGCCGCCGATGCAATGTAGGATCGCTATGTCTCGCTTTTTCTACAAAAGTCGAAGGCTCGAAAACAATCACAATTTTTAAATTTGTAAAGGGGCATAACTCAAGCACAGTAAAACTGACACCACCAAAACTCAAATTTAATCAGTGTTTTGTGATAATGAGCCTTGTGTATAAGTTTCATAACATTTGGTTGAGACAAACTAAGAGTTAAAGATCGTAAACAAAAAATTCAAGCAACTTTTCCATTTGTTAAGGAGCATAACTCTAGAATTGTAAAATCGACGCCACCAAAATTCAACTTGACCTGTGTTTTGAGGAAATTATAAGCATTGCGTATAAGTTTCATACAATTTGGTTTAGGAAAACTAAAGTTAGAGAACAGAAACCAATTTTTGGATGTACGGACGTATGTACAAGTAAGGTTTGTACATACTTACAGAAGAAAAAGGGTAAAACTTAATACGGTGCAGGGGTTCAAATTAACATTTGGTACTGGAAGGTCCAGGACCTTTGACACTCCAAACTGAAAGGTCCTCAACCTAAATTCCAGGTCCTACTTTTACTTGAAATATTTCCTAACATAGTAAGATACAAGTAACAAAATTAATGTGCTGTTGGTGTTAGGTCAACTTGTTTCATTGTCAAAGTCACTGTTGTATAAAATATTTAATAACAATTGTAATTATCTTGTATATTATAAATTCAGATAATCTTTTTTTTTTGTTATTGAGGAGGGTGTCACCATGGGTGGGTGTGTTGTCTCAACTATTTGTAATTTATTACTACTTATACCATTTCATAAAACAGTTCAAATTCAAAGCTGTTTAAGCAGAGACGTATATACATGTGTATATATTTCTCTGGCTTAAATGTATCATATCTAGTTGCACTATTATAATGCATTAGTTCCTCTGTGAAAATTAGATAAGAAACTTCCAGATTTGTGCTGGTCCTTTAAAATTGAGAAGACATTACCTCTTGGAATTGTAGTAATACGTTTACACTATACAAAAATCTACATGTAATATCAATATTTATTAATGATAAAGAAAATTACTGTCACATTTTTTTGGATTTTGAGATGAAAATTTATGAACTAAAAGTAATTTTGAGTTTCTGTAAAAAAATATTTCCTACTTTTTCTTTCTTTTCAATATATCTTTTGGTTTTCAATTCTAGTGTTTATATCTTATCATCATAGATGTATTTTGTCAACTGCCTGGAATTATTATTTTTTCATTGTATTTGATCGGCAAACCCGGATTTACCCTTATCCGCTCCGGAATCGGATCCTTTTTTTTGTTATTTTCTTCATTTCCGGTTCATGGCATCCAATGTTTTTCAATGTTGTTTTGTCAGTCAGATACGATTTTACTCGGATTTACACATTACTAGTTGGCAATTTTCGGTATAAAGCTAGCGGTTGAACAAAATGAACATCGCTGTCATGAATAATAATGATGAAAATAAATTTTGAGATTGTTTTGAAATTTTTGTTTAAAAAGGTCGGCAAAGTTTATTCTTATTTTCTTTCAATCCGAAGGTCCGTCGGGCGTAGCTTGTAACCAAAACGAGAGTCCGACTGCAAAAATGGAAGGCGCGGACCTCGGACCACCGATAATTTGAACCCCTGCCGGTGGGGACATAACAATAGCAGTATAACGACAGGAATAAAAAGTTAATATACACTAGATTCATAGACATGATAGAGGTGCTTATAACCCTGTAACACTTTTTATCAACCCTGTAACACATTTTATAGTTGATGCTCTGAAATTTAGCATTGAGGCAATAACATTTGAGATTTTTGGTGCATCATAATTATTTGAACTAGCACTAAGAGTCATTTTGCTATTACATGGACAGATCATTTAATCATGTAAATAATTGCTACAGCACTTGTCTTAATACACTAGCTGAGTTATTTTAAGTAGAAGCTGACTTGTCTGCCTTATCCTTGTAACAATTTGTGTACAAATGTAATTGTTCATCGTAACACTGAGGAGGCTGTGATATGTACGAACTGTCGTCGAGTCAATGTTTTTTAGCTGTCAGTTTGATCCACGTGAAATAGCTAGTATTTAAATAGCGGAATTTAAAAGTTTTCAAATGTTTTTGGCATCAAAACCTTCTGATCAATGTTTTGACAAAAACATGCACTTTTCTATCATAGCCGGTATTTACCTTTACTCGCCTATTGTGCGACAGAAGCCATATGATTATCGATTATTTCTGTCACCTGTGTATAATTGTTTAATCAAACTTTTATCACTTGTCAATTATCATGATTATCCGACGGCTTGGTCATAATATACAGATTATGTTGCATTCAGTAATGTCAGTCATAAATTAACTCATACAGGATTCTTTCGATACACTCAGGCTTTTACTTTATATTTAATAATAGACATTTGTAAATATCATACGTAGTAAAAATTGCGCGGGAAAATGTTCATTCATGAAATATTCATGAATTAAACGATGTCTCGCGTAGATTTCTTTTGATTTTCTCTTCAGGGCATGGAAAATCCGCGAAGAAGTGTTTGTGATAATCATTTTCAAATTTTCAAAATGAAGTTAAATTCAGCTGAATTGTCGGTGAACATTCATTCCTTTTTTATTCAAGCTTTAATCTTTTCAAAAGGACTCAAAATTTCAAAAGCATCTTCCTAGAATCAGTATTCAAACACTAGTACTACATTATCTTGGAGCAGAACATTTGCTATAGTCTGTCACCGGAAGTTTGAGGTCAACAGTACTACTATAGCAAACTTCCCAAACAATCAGCAATTTTTCCATTTGTAAAGGGGCATAACTCTAGAACAGTACATTTGATGCTACCAAAATTCAAACTTGGTCTGTGCGATCTACGTGTTTTGTAGTATAAATAAGCATTGTGTACCAGTTTCATAACATTTGGTTGAGGTAAACTATAAAAGTTAAGAGAATGGAATCGAAAAATTCAGCAATTTTTCCATTTGTAAAGGGGTATAACTCTAGAACTGTAAATATGACGCCACCAAAGATCAATCTTGATCTGTATTTTGTGGTAATAAGCATTGTATGTTTGTTTCATAACATTTGGTTGAGGCAAACTAAAGTTAAAGAACAAAAACTAGTTTTGTGAAGCACAGACGTTACATATGTAGTACATACAGATGGACAAGGGTAAAACTTAATGCCGCCTCTGATACGGTGGGGAATAAAAAATCATAAAAAATCGTTTTACAGAAATTTTTGACAACTCATAACTAAAATCAAGTGAACAGAAACAATCATTGATAAACTAAAATTAATATACTATCTTTAAGCATGAAGAAAAAAGTGTGGAAAACTGATTTGTCGGACTGAAGGACACACAGACAGACAAATGTTATTCCTATTTCCAAATGATTGTTAACCATGTTAACTGACCAATAACATCTCTAAATCTATATTCTGAGCAAATATATAATGGTAATAGTATCAAGTGGGCTGATCATGACCATGCACCAAATCAAAAATCTAATTAAAATACCACTGAGATTCTGCATGGACTCTTTGACTTAAATGGGAACCAACTTGAAAACAGGCCTCAAAATTGAAAAAAAAAATTAAAACGCCACTAGATTCGTCAAATATGAATGTACAGACGGACAACGGTTAAACTTAATGCCCCCTCTGCTACAGCTGGAGCATAAAAAAAATATATATATTGCATGCCCCCCTAGCAAGTTCAGCCTGCTTTGCGGACTTCACACTGTGTTAGTGAAATAAAGTGGGTTACTAACTTTTTGTCTGGGCTAACGGATTTTCAAGTCTAGTAGCCCAGCAGGCTACTGGCCTTAAAAAGTTAATTTTGACCCCTGGGTTGCCCCCTTTTTCTACGTCTCATAAAGATCCATCAAATCATACATGTACATGTCATATTTCCAACATGAATTGAATGTAATAAACACATTGAGATAACGGAAACCCTTTTAACTAATCCTCGTTGTCAGTTTCGCCATAGAAATGCTGAAATATTTCTATATTTACAGCGTCTTTTTCGATTTCCGCCATTTGCATTTGTCAAAATATTTGTATTTATTTTCCTTCTAATTCTATTTTAAAAATGATGCTAATGATATTTATTTAAACTTCTGACTAATCACTGTAAAATTTTAACCAATTTGACGCTAACGATAGCCAAAAATAACCGTTTGACGTCTGACGGTACAGGGCATTACTACCCTCATAACTGTTATAAAGAGTTCTGCCCGCCTTCTGGATTCGCCAAGTGCTGCAATTTCTATGTCAGATTTAATTGTGCAATACTGTTACAGCTCTAAATTTAGATGGTAAACGAATATTTGACTAAGCAAAGTTTCTGATACACTTTTAATGTGGTTTGGGACCTTTAAAATTGGACGCTTACCAATCCAAAATCAATTAAAATTTACACAACACAAAGGAAGGAAGTTCCCGGAAACACATTAGTTTTAGATCCGATACGGGAAAAGACTTGATTATCCGCAAATTTGATATAGTAATTTAACAAGAAATAGCTTTTCTAAAAAGCTTGCCGTTTTATAGCTTATCAGTTTGTTGAAAACTGATTTTTTGATTTGTAGTATATAAGCCATCCAAAATATTACTCTGCATATAAACTGTATTGGGGTTAAGAAGTTAAATATTGGAAAGGCCAATTTGGTATTTTTGTGAGGTTCGTATTGCTCATGCAGACTTTATAATAAGTTTCTACACAAGTGAGTTTCTATAATGTATTTTAGGGATTTTTTTCGTCGTCTTTCGTTTTTTTTTTGCCATGATTTTGACAATTTCTCTAGACTTGTTTTGAATGTTCGTTAGTATCTTCTGTTCTCTCACAATAAGTACCGCCGAAAAACCGTCTGAGATTGGTTTGAAATATACTGTAAGTCCGCGAACGGTGTTATTAAACTCAAAATATAAAACCAGAAGTCCATTACTAGACTGTAATGGACTTCTGATAAAACTCATAGACAATAATACTTGATTGTCTTCATGCATAGACAATTTCTTATTTCCTTTAAAACGTTTTTCTAAAACTGATATTTTCTACTTCAGAATTTTTTATTGTCTTTTGGTAGATTCATTTCCTATGTAATTATTATTCTGTATAGTCATTAAAAAAAAGGTCAGAATTCCAGAAAATTTGTAAAAATCCAGTGTTTGATCTTTTATAGATTAATGGTAGATAAAGTAAAGATAAAAACATATTTAAGTATTAATGCTTCTTGATCCAACTTGTCGTGTACGCTCACTCACCAGTGACACAAATAAGGAGACTATACCAGGAACAATTGAAAACATTGGCTTGAAGAAAGACCAACAAACCATGGCTAAATGAACAGACAAAGAATAGTCAACATAACGGATAACATTACACAGAAGGCTAATGAGTAATAACTGATTAAAAAACACCACCAATAATTTGGGGCTAATTTTAAATTTCCGAAAGGTCGAGCAATACCAACACAAATAGAGCAAACAATGTGTTACTCTTGTTCAAATACATGTTTGTTAATAGACATTTCCAGTTAAGAATTATCCATTTGAGATTTGGCAAACGTCCGATGTCCAATCATTGGGCGTTTTTAAAGAACCAGACATATAGTTACATTGTAAGTAAACCAGACAAGCGTTTCGTGATACTAAAACAGTTTTAATTATCAGCTATTGCTAAAAGTAATTGCTATCTAATATGCCATTGTTTTCTAGTAGCAGTCCAACTATTCTGCTCTTCATCCATGTTGCATCACCTTGCGATTAACCCTATGTATCTATTGTTAATAGTTTATTGTCATAAATGCTTTAATAAAGATGTTTAGTCATAGTCTTGTTGCCTAATGGGTAACAGTCTAGAGACATATAGAGCGGACATAGGAATGTTTCATGCTCATACGAGGAAATCAAGAAGATTTCTAAATCACCCTCCTTCTTCGTATACAGATATACTGTGTGTGTGGTGCTTACCTGCGTTGCTCGTTCCTCTTTGCTGCCCTGCTCTGTCTACAAAGCTTAAATCCAAATGTAAATGCAGTATTTTTTCTCTTCGTATTGAAATTCATACTTATTGTAGGTAACGTTGAAACTAATCCGGGTCCAGAAAGATCAAGTTCATCGAGTTCACTAAATAATACTTTAGACAATACAATCTCACTTTGTAATCTTAACATTCGAAGTATAAGGAACAAAATAGACTTTCTCCATGACTTTGCTGAAGATATTGATATTCTATTGTTAACCGAGACACATCTTGACGAACGGATTGACGATTTTACTATTTTTCTAGAATCCTTTTCAAATATAATACAGCGAAAAGATAGAACCAATGCGGGTGGTGGTCTACTTATAATGTGGACTAATGAATAAATACTTCACGTCAATATCAAAACTTGAAGAACAAAATGTTGAGATGCCGCCATTTGAGAATAGAATGGAAAGTATTATTAGTGATATTCAAATAACAGTGAAATAGTTGATATACTTCTTACTCTTGATCCTAAAAAAGCATCTGGACCAGACAGAATCAGTCTTAGGATGCTCAAAATATCACCCCCCCCCCCCCTCCACCCCAAAAAAATAAATTTGCAAAACCCCTTAAAATTATATTTAATAAATCCCTGTCCCAAGGTAAATACCCTACTTCATGGAAAATAGCCAATGTAATTGCCATATTTAAGAAAGCAGATGTATCCCTACCATCTAATTATCGACCGATATCCCTGATTAGCTGTGTAGGAAAAGTAATGGAGAGGGTAGTCTACAAACATATTTATAACCATCTACATAGGAACAAACTTATTTATATATATCAGTCAGGATTTTTACATGAACATTCAGCTGTACATCAACTTATTGAACTTTATAATACTATATTAAATTCTCTTGAAAAAAAAGAATTCAGTTGCTTCGTATTCTGTGATTTCTCAAAAGCATTTGATAAAGTATGGCATAATGGACTTATACATAAAATGAATTCTTATGGAATAAAGGGAAATTTACTTGCATGGACTAAACATTATCTGTTTCAAAGAAAACAAAAAGTAGTTATCAGAGATTCGTCTTCGTCATTGTCAATTGTTTCTGCGGGGGTACCCCAAGGCTCTGTTCTCGGTCCCCTTTTATTTTTGCTGTATATAAATGATATTGGCGAAAATTTAATTTCACTGACTACACTTTTTGCTGATGATACGTCGCTGGGATATTCCACCGCAAGCATTACAGACTTAGAGGTAGTAGTTAATCATGATTTAAACAAACTCAATGATTGGTCCAAAAATTGGTTAATGTCCTTTAACCCAGATAAAACGGAAATAATGATTTGCTCAAATACTAATATTCCAAGTAATTTAAGTTTTTCTTTCAATGGAAGATCAATATCTAACACATCAAGTCATAAACACTTAGGCGTAACTCTCTCCCATGACGCAAAGTGGAATGAGCACGTAGAAAATATTTCCAAAAATATTACAAAGCATTTAGGAGTCTTAAGAAAAGTAAAATTTAAGATGAAAAGACAAAACTTAGAAAAAATGTATCTGCTATAAATTCTTTCTATATTTGAGTATGCTTGCGAAGTGTGGGACAATTGTGGTATTTGCTATTCAAACAAATTAGAAAAACTTCAACTGCAAGCTGCGAGGATTGTAACAGGACTGCCAATCTTTACTAAAACAGAATATTTATATTTAGAGACTGGCTGGGAACCCCTACACAGTAGGAGGCACAGAAGAAAAATGCAATTATTTTATAAGATGTACAATGTTCTCGCTCCACAATATTTATGTGATTTATTTGCCCCACTTTACAAAGTACAACTGTTTATCCACTGCGTAATGGCAATGACTTAATAGCCCCCTTTTTCGACTCTCCTTAACAAATTCTGCATTTATTCCCTCGTCCATCAGAGAATAGAACACACTTGATAATTCTATCCGTACACTTGATACGTACCTATCTGAGTTCAAACGCTTGTTGAATAATACATACGAAGCAGAGACTGTACCTAAGCATTGTATGTATTGTCCGCGGAAATTGAGTGTAATTTTAACACAGCTGCGATGTTCAGCCTCATTTCTAAATAACGACCTATTTGAATCAAATATAATACAAAGTCCATATTGTGCTTGTGGCGCTCCGCCTGAAGATTCATTTCATTTTTTCTTTAACTGCAATAAATACAACGATATAAGGAACGATCTATTAACCAATATTCACCGTTTTCCAGTGACAATAAATCTACAGTTGCTCACTGAGGGTAGCCAAACTTTTTAACATACGAGGAAAACTGTGAAATCTTTAAAGAAGTCTTTAAATATATATAAAAAAATCAAAAAGATTCCTTGTAGTTTAATCAAATAAAATATGAATAAACAAAAACACCGTGTCCACAGAATTTCATTTATTTATTTATTTTTCTTTTCTTTTATATTTGTATTATTTCTTATTTTTCTTTTATTTCTATTTTTTTCTCTTTCTCAATTCTCTATCCTTTTTCTTGTTAATTGTGTTAGGCTTTTTTCTTTTTTTTTCTTCTCAGACTGTGCAAATGCCTAATTTTAGTATTACCTTTAATATATATCTACTGAACTGTGCATGCTCTGTATAATTGTTATTGTAATATTAATATGTAAAGGAGAAGACTTCATAAGTTGGTTAAAATTGTGTCCGATCCTTTTTGTATCTTTGAGCAAATAAAATTGTTATAATCTCATAAATATGCAGGAACTAATTGACACTGGAAGTTAGGCAAGCTCAGCATTCAATCTAATAAATCACAAAAATTATTATGCATTGTTCTATTGTCTTGATTAATATTAATTGCATACATTATCTGAAAATTAAGAAAAAATATTTTAATAAACAAACTACGCAATTTCATCGATAACTGTCCAGTATTACAATTATCTATGTGATTGGAACTTAAATGAAAAGGCAAATAACTGACCATGTTTGTCCAAACTCATTATTTTATTGTTTGGCAATTAAAAGAGGGACGAAAGATACCAGAGGGACAGTCAAACTCATAGATCGAAAACAAACTGACAACGTCATGGCCAAAAATAAAAAGACAAACAGAAAAATAATAGTACAGATGACACAATATAGAAAACTAAAGACTAAGCAATACGAACCCCACCAAAAACTGGGGGTGATCTCAGGTGCTCCGGAAGGGTAAGCAGATCCTGCTTCACATGTGAAACCCGTCGTGTTGCTTATATTATTACAAATCCGGTAAATAGTCTAATTCGATAGGTCAAATTCGTGAAAAGGGAAGGGTATTGTAGTTACGACATAAGGAACATATCCGATATCATCCGTGAAACGGTTATTCCATAACGGTCAACCAACTCGTGATATGAAAGTAAAAAGTACAATCTTAAAAAAATCTGATTGATTTAGCCAATGCATATATCTTAATAACAAGTGGGGAGGTTACAATTTTTCAACAA